CAGACATTTTGTACTTATTTCGGATTCACTTATAACCCATTTCTTCCATATGCTCATTTAGCGAGTATTTATGTCATCATGTGCGTTTACTTTATTCGATATCGACATTTCGAATGATTGGCTGTTGTTTGACATCCCAGGTGTGGCTGCGCTTGATGTGCATGTTGACAAGGTGCCTACCTGTCTATTACCCACTACGTCGTCCATCTGGCACCAGGAGACAGTTGGTCGTTGCTGGAGGGGACGGGGTGCACGGTCCTTGTGGCCGTGTTAGGATCAAAGAATGGTTCCATGCACTCAGTGTGGAGCGGACTACGGTCTAGCCACCGCCTTGTGTGCGCTTGATTCCACAACTACAGCGTGCTTGTCTTTGCCTGTGAAGGAGTGTGGGCCGGCTCCGTGGATGAAACGTGGCTCCCATTCACATGCCTTCCGGTCTTATTCTTTCGGGTTTACACTGGATAAGGGGTGTGTGGATGGAGCTGTGGGTGGTGCAGCGGAAGCCACCCATGGTCCCTCTGTAGGCGCAGGCGTCCTGTGGCTGGCCACAATGACAAGCAAATCCGAAACTGCCAACCATATATATATATATATATATATATATATATATACTATCATCGAAAACCGTGGAATGATTGTGCGCAATAAGTCAAAATCAGGGACTTTACTTAGTTGCTAACCACTTCGCTACGACGCTATGTTACTAAGCATCTAAATGTGGCCTTTTATTGGGATACGCTTGACATTTGAAAACCTAACCTGTCTTGCTACACTACCACCGAACCATTCGCTAGAAGTGGGTAATCCAGAACCACCATGCTTGTACCACGAGAAGATTGTTCGGCAAGCCAGCTCCTCGACAGTGGGTTGAAACTGTGGCTCTTTCCCGTCTTGGAAAGAATGGTGATGAACATATTTGGCCAGCGAGAATTATCTTTGTTAGCGAAACCATCCTTATCCTGATCTTCTCCCACCTTAGTAGGCTAAAGGGTTGAAGATACATATTTATCTAGATCTGAGTCCGATGTACCGGAGACGGCCCAAGTCTGCCAACATTGAGCTGATAAAACAAAATGACGATGGAGAAGCAAATCTCCGTGTCGTAAATTTCCAGGTTGTTTACAAGATTCCACAAAGCCGGATAAACAGGTTGCTCATGCTTCAATCTCACCCGGTGCTTCTTGCTGCGGTGTACATGTAACCTTTATCAACATTTTAAATCCAATGGACAAGCGCGATGAGCCGCACCGTTTCGTTCTCTGAGCACCTATGTTGGCACCTGTGAAATAGGAGATGAGATCACGAACCGTATAGAAAAAGCTCGTAGCGCCTTTGTGGTGTCAGCGCGACATTACGCTAGCCGTGATCGGCAGAGCCCCCCTGTACGGTTGCGAAACTTTGCCATCAGATCATCAGACATAAAGTGGCTACGTTCCCTCGTCGCTGCCTTTGGATCTGGTGGGAACACCACATGAGCAATGATCATGTTCGGCGTCGCGTATTTTTGGTACTGCAAGAGCGAGTGAAACTCTCAGGGCTGTTTTATCCCGCTCCGGTCTCCGATGTCTGTATCACGAATTGCGCATGCCAGCACACCGACTCCGGTGACGTGCGTTTTTTGCGCGCCCGTGGTTGTGGGTCTAAGAGGAGAAGAGGAGGGAAGGCCAAGCAATGACTTTGTAAGGAGCAATGATTACCCTCATTTCGGAGTTGGCATTTCTTTACTGTCTGGCTAGGATCCTACTGACGATAAGCACATTTGGCTTGATAGACTAGTTCACATGACAAAAAGTCGACCTCAGTGGCGTTTGTGTTTTGAGTTTCTTTGTCCTTCCTCCCACTTGGCTTCCCCTCCACCACGATCTCACTCACGAAGCACAATATACGAAGCATTATATTCTTGTTTTTTTTGTTTTTGTTGTATTCTGTAATGTTTTGCATCTCGTTTTTCATATATTTGTATTGCAGCACAAAAGCTGTTTCTCACCTTCGGCCAACGTGTGGTCGTGGTGATTATGATGATGCTGATGATGATGATGAGTGGCCAGACATAGTTGAACCCGCACAGATGTTGAGGTTATCGCCAGGGTAGACGAGCTCAGTCGTTAATCGTGCTCCCACTGCGATAATTTGCTGAACGCTCACGTTGTCGCCTTACTCTGGGTGGCAGACTTGTGTGCGATAATGGCCTGTTTGATCAGCTACGGTGCTCCATCCATCTCAGACGCTGTGAGCTGCTCGTGGGCGCACTTCATCGCAGTCCCCTGATCCGTTGTTTGGATTAGCGACCGCATTTCTAGGCCACATGGAACGCCCCCATTTCCTAATTAATGTTGGTTTTACTTGTCCTCATATGTACGACCGTAATATGCAACTCATGTCCGGACATTGGCACGAGACATCTACCAACCGACGTCACCTCGTTTAATTCCGTCGGGCCTGATCTGATATTAATGAGCTAAGAAAAACATATGCACACCATTCAGATCCCGGAGAGAATGATGCTCATCATTTGTGCGAGGAATACGGATCGTTGGACATAAACCCAGGCGGTGTTAATGCCTCAATGAGCGATTCACTTGACCGTCCGCGCCTTCTGTCATGGTATCTTTACCCACGTTAGCCATGCGACTCAGTGTTGAAACCTAACAATATGGCTCATTGTTGGTGTAACAATGAACCAGTCAAAGAAGCAAACCGCGTCTTCGGATGCTGTATAATAACTGAGAGAGGTTCGATGTCGAATCTTCTGTTTCTCTCAGATTACTGACATTCGTTCCTCTATTACTGGTCCTTTCCTTCTCTTTTTGCAACATTTTCTCTTGTATAACTACCTTGCATTATTAGTATTGACCTTATTAGGTTGGCGACGTGTGTCAATATGACTATCCACCGCACTTCGGTACTTAAATAATACTTAACAAACTGGAATGGCTCGAACGTTTTTGATATTTTATCTTTCAGCATTGACACGAGTGAACCTTGACGCAAGGCTGAGATTCGTAGAGTGCACTTCAGATCCGCTGATGCCAAACACTTCAATGACTATCGGACTGTAAACTTCCGTCTCAGTTCTTCGTCAGACATTGAGAATAGGTTGATGGTGCTCTGTAACCTAACCATTGAATGCAACATTTGTAGGTTATAAGCTCGACTCCATTGGTATAGAAAAAGGCACCATTAGTCATCTCTGTCGGCGGGGACGCTTCGTTGCTGCTCAGCAGTTCGCTAGCGCTTCCTCCAAGCCAGGTTGCTCTTGGCCACAAACCCGTCTATTGTTGGCTGTTGTCACCCATGCGTCATCTGTTTGTCTTGAATAGTATATATGAGACCACTACTGGCTGCTACGATCAATCCATCTCCTTAGATTGACACACGTTTTCCATGGAATAGGGTTTGTGTCTCCATGCTTGAAGAGGAGTCGGCCGTTAACCTTAAAGACCACAAGCGTGCCTTGTAATCCGAGGGCGCGGGCTCGAGCCTGCTTAGGTACCGAGTGAACTTCGCAGTATCAGTAGCCCTGGTGCGACTATTGGTGCTTATACGACCGCGAAGCATCGGTACTGCGTACTGCTGATGCCTTTCTTTTTTTCTTACTAAGGGAGTTTCAGATTGCCGCACTGTTAATCCCCCTCCCACTGATCACGTGATATCCGATACGTCGCGAACCTGCTTCGTTCTGGGAGACGAGTTCCTGCTGATTCCGAGCACAATGCGGCCATATCCGGGGCTAGATGAAACGTTTTACTGCTGACAAGGGGTATCATTGTTGACGGCGAGTCACAGAAGTGCAGGTGCCAGTACTTACATGTTGATGTCACTAGCCATTTCAATAAATCCCCTCCGCTGTTCCTATGTTGCTATCCGTCATTGTGGCCACAAGGAACATCACGCGTGCCCTTATCTCTGTGTCATCGTTTAACTCGTCAAGAGAAGTTTATTAAATCACATTTTGGTTGACCTGCGATTTCTGTGCCACTGTATGATCAACTGACGTAGGTTGAATTAGCAGAATTTGGTGTTCTCTCCACGTCACCTGCCAGGATGATTGTGTTATCATTGAAGCTAGACCGAAACGGAACTCGTGCGAACTATATCTTCTGTGTTACTGCGCACTATAAAGTTCAGCTTAGATCCACCGTGCAACAGAATACCGTGGGCCGAAGGATTTTAGTACATTCGTTTAGCCATGGCTATGGAATGCGAAATAACATGAAACGAGGAGCGCACGATTTAATTTCGTTCTTGGGAGCAGCAGGCAGCTACAGTACATCTCGATGATAAAAATATCGGCAAACTGAATACGGTAAAAATTTTCGGCCTTGATGCATAGCTTTCATTAATGAACTACATTTTCAGTGTTCAATGTTCAAGAACGATAACACCTAAATACAGGGAAATAATTTCTTTGTTTGGATTAACGGAAGTAACCGTGCTGTCTTCAAATGAAGGTGTTTCGAATTGCGGAAGAAATTAAAGTTCTGGCTGCCTTTTCATTGCTGTTGACGATAGCAACAATGTTTCCTTGACTCAGCTCCTCTTTAGCTCCATCTTTATCCATGCCTGACTTGATTCTGTTCTTATAATACGTTGGGTTGCCGGTATCTCTAGGGAGGGCTGTTATACTTCTACCATTCAACGGTTTTTCTCGTATCCATGGTCAATCTTGGCGGTGCGTTCCGTTCACGTAACGTATCTAACTGCATGCCATTACGTTTAATGTCTGACATTTACGATAACTTACTAGCCTGTTTCCTCCCCAGTTTTCCGCCATGATTAGTGGATCTTGTTGTTCTTGCACGGTACTTCAGCCTACCCTTGGATCGTTACATATAACTACCCTCTGTCAGCTCAAACAACACGTTTCCCCACTTTTCCTGCTGCGATAACATAGTTTGATTTTAGTGCTTCATTTCTTACGATTTTATCGTTTACTTACTGTTGAATTTTTGATTGTGGCACTCTACCATACCTTTCTTTTGTTTTATTTCATTTCACAGGTTATTTCGGCATATAGAAAGATCAATCCGAGAGACGAGATCATACAGGCGCGGAAACTTTCCAATACTTCCAGTGACCCTTTAGAATGTACTACCACCGTAAGAACATGTTGCGCATAATTTTTCGTCAAATTCCTCTCTTTCACCGTAGTGCGATCAGCCATTTTGTTGCGCGTCCGCCAAATGCGGGTGTAGTCTTGCTTTCGAAGAAATCGCCTCACACTGCCATTATAAGGCATATCTTCTTGACTGAAATTGTACAGATCAATTTCAGTAAGAAGAAATCCGTTTCAAGTTTCTCATGAGCTTCTTCTGCATTTATCTTGACTGTCATTCGGCTCAACACATTGTGTGGCAGGAAATAGGATTGTTGAACGATAAACTGATTTTCACACCTTTATTCCAATGGTTTGGTTTTCTGCTAGTTCTTATCGCTTGTTTCTGTTACTCAGACGTCCTCTGGTTACAAGAAAATTGATCCACGAGCGGAGATCATGCTGGCACGAAAGTTGTCACAGGTGCAATGTGAGGATGAGGATCAGATTCATATTGTGAGTGTCTCACCTTTTGCTAGTATTCTCCGTGTTGTCGCTTCCGTGGCTTACGACACCCACTTATTCAAGAGCTATTATCAAGAAAGTTTTAAGTTACTGATGCGTTCCTAGTAGGCTGTTCAAAAGCCATTATTTGGTCACCTTGTCGTTCCGTCGATATGCTAACCATCCTCGAATCTTTTCATTTGTGCAACGGCATCTCCGGTTTTTTTTTCGTCACCCGAGCTTCACATCCCTCTCACAGATTTCTTCGACACTGGATCACCTCGCGTGCTGATTTATTTACATTTTCTTTTAAGCTTCTACTAGCTTTTTCTCGTTCGTGTCGCTCCTCAGATGCTCTTCGTCGTACACTTCTTGACTTTGTTGGTAAGATGAACGCAAATGCCTTTTTTCTATTAACTGCATATAATGCGGAGGTTCTTACCGATTTGGGGCACAGATCAACATCAACATTACATCTGTGCTTTGTACGGGGATTGAGATGTTGCGGAAGGTGCCCTAACCTCGACGATTTGTTGTCTCACATCAAATTAGGACACCAGTGTGCAATGGATTCGAATATCTTGTACCATATCGTCTCTGCTGCCCAAAATGAGGAATGTAATAAGAAGGGGGGAAATCAAAACGAAACATGATCACATCGAGGGAATGACTGTTCCGCTTCGAATTAATGTACTTACACCGGATGGACTATTGCGTTTAAATATTAGTGGACATCTACGCCTCGGAGACTTTTTGCGGAGTCGTACCACGATACATTCAATCTATGTTTGTGTGCAAACCTTACGTAAGGTTGGTTTCACACTTTGATTTTTATCTGTCCGGAATATTAAAGACTATTACATTATGCCATCTGACTGTCCGTTGGTGTATTTCAACGGATCTTATGCTTATTTGGTTATTCGCATGTAGTAGACGCGGCGTAGTGGTCAGGTGGATTTCCATTATATATGATAATGAAAACAGACGTTCTGTTAATGATTCGAAAGCAGTAACGTTTTGTTTAAGCATGATCAGTTCATCCTGTAGCTCGAGTACTTTGCTACACATTTCTGAACCAGTGGCGGCTGTTTCGACACTACGTTGCTTTGCGCAGCTAGGTGTTTTCAGTTTCTTGGAAACTGCTTGCTTCAACAGGTTTTTTCCAATTGACGACTTAACTTAGCTGACGTACTAAGCACCGCAGTTTTTTCCGTCAGCGAAAGATAGTGGCACTGTTAGTGGGTAGATCGATTTTTCTGGAGTTTTCCTTCTTGAGATTTAGCTACAACAAGCGTCATGTGCACTGGGTGACTCTGGGATATGCATTATTCGTTTAACGAGGACCTTGACTTTGATATGCATGTAACTGACTGGGAAAAAGTGTACTGCTTGCTGTACATGCCAGATCGCCGCTTACTGCGAAGTCATCATTCATCATTATACACGTCAGCTAGAGGTGGGAAACAACTCAGCTACTGTGCTGCAATACATAAAGGAAAAGGAGAACAAATACAACAGGTGTATGCCAGCTGAGCTACCAGCAACGGATAGGCATCGTTCCGATAAGCTACCAGCCGGCTACTAGGCAAAAAGAAAAATTATTATGTTTCAGGCTACGAAATGAAACCGTAGTTGGAGGGGGAGGCTAAAAAGGATGGGGAGGGACAAAGAAACTCACAGCAGGAACGTCACTGAGGTCGGCTCCTTGCCATGTCAGCAAGTGTATCTAGCCAAACGTGTTAACCGTCTTTTGGACTTCAACCAGGGAGGCGTGACGCTCCAACCGAGGCCAGCACAGAAGTGAGGGCCTTCCTTCCTCTTGACCAAGTCATCGCTTGACCACCCCTCCTCTTCTTCCATCCACATCCCCGGTGAGCAAACAACGCTCGTCGGGTAAGTTGCTGGGCTGGCATGCGTAACACGTGGTCCAGTCATCGGAGCCTGGTGCGTGAAATGACGGTGCTGAGCGGTTCAGTTCCTTTTTCTGTGCCGTAAACAAGGCGTCGAACACACTCGTTACTCACGCGGTGTTCCTACCAGATGTGAGCCAAACTGCGAAGGCACCGATGGTCGAACGTAACTAGCCTCTTTATGTCTGCTGATCTTAGGGGCCAGGTTTCGCAACCGTACAGTAAGGTCGAACGTACCGCTGAATTGTACACTCTACCCTTCAGGGCGAGAGCGATGTCGCACCGGCGGCATAAGTGGCGAAGGTTAGCATAAGCACTTCGAGCTTTTGCTGTACGGTTCGTTATCTCGTCTTCGATCCCAAGGGCGCTGATACAACTTCCCAGGTAGTTGAATTACCGAACGACGTCTAGCTGATCCTCACCAAGGGTCAGCGCAGTAGCCGAACCCTTTCAATCTTGGAGGAACGCTTTGCATTTCGATGGTGCAAAGCAAAGCCCGAAGCGGCTGACAGCCAGTGCTACTCTGTCCAGCGCGGCTTGGCACGTCTGGGAGCTGTCACAGATGAGGGCAATGTCGTCAGCATACTCCAAGTCAAGAAGTCAGTCTCCTAATATTAGCTCCACACCTTCCAACTCATGTCCTCTAAATGCAATCTCCATGACTTCGTCAACAGCGAAGTTGAAGAGGAAAGGTGACAACGGGCATCCTTGTCTCACACCGCTGGAGATATTGAAGGTTGGCGACAGCTTGCCTTAAGCCCTCACTCTGGCCGTGCTATGCGCGTATGTTGCTCAGATAATATTTACATATTTCTCGGGCACACCTTTCCTGAGTAGACAATTCCAGAGGCACATCGATCAACCGAATCGAATGCACCTTTGATGTCGATGAACACGACTACAGTGGGCCGCCAATATGTATGACGGTGCTCCAGTAACTGACGCAAGGTGAAGATGTGGTCGATGCAGCCACGACCACGACGAAACCCGGCTTGCTCCTCACGAATCTGGCTTTCACGAGTGCCAGTCAGTCTGTGAAGAATTATGAAGGCGAGTAATTTGGAGGCGATGGAGATCAGACTGATTCCTCTATGGTTGCCGCATTCCGAACGCGAGCCTCCTTTGAGGATGGGAACAATAACGGAGCGGATCCAGTCGGTTGGGACAGTCTCTTGCCCCCCACAGTTTCACTAATAATTCACGTAAAGCATCAACAAGAGTAGAGCCTCCGAATTTGAAGAGGGCTGGAGGAAGATCATCTGGTCCCGCGGCTTTGTTCAACTTCAGCATTCCGATCTCACGTTCGACTTCTGAGCAAGAGGGTGGATCCAAAGGGACAGCCCAGGTAGCAGGGCGATCACTGGCCGCCGAAAAATCGAACAATTCTAGTCGATTAAATTGCTTTTCAAAATGCTGAGCCTAACGCTCTAAACGTTTTGAGAAATTGTGGATAGGCTGTCCACTCTTGTCACGTAAAGTTTCACTAACACCAGGTCTCCTGCTACCCATTTCCCGTTTCAGACGGAATAACTTACGGTGGTTGCCAAGGGCATCGGCCATTTCCATCTCTGATGCACGATGAGACCACCAAGCTTCGCGGTCTCTCTTCAGGCTAGCACGGAGTCTTGCCCGGAGCTCTTTGCGAGTTTCATTGTGTTCGCTTCCAGCCCGGATATGCCGGCGATCATCGATAAGTTCCAGAGACTTTGAAGAAACCCAATATCCACGTTGGCTATTAGACGTGCCACATGAGGATTTGCCTGCTGCTAGTAAGTTCTGGTGGACATGTGACCAGTGAGCATCAATTGTCTCCAGTGAGCGCTTACTCAACTCGCATGTCAGCGTACTTTGATACGCATTCAGAACAGCTGGTTTTGTCAGTTGGCTGGTGTCAATACGCTCACAGCGTCGTCGTCGGCGTCCGCCAAAGCGCATCTGCATGTCAGCACATACACGTGCATGCTCGGTGTCCACACATGTGCTCCAAATCGAGCGACAGTTCTGGATGCAGCCTCTCCAGCGGTAACTGATAGCAATATGATCTATCTGCGTCCATAGCTGGTTCGAGGCTGGTGGGCGCCAAGTCACCCTCCTGCGGGTGCTGTGTCGGAAGTTAGTGCTTGCAAGAAATAAGCGGGCATCTTCACACAAATGAAGTAACCGCTCACCGTTATCATTACGGGAGCCTACACCGTGCTGACCGCCTAGATGCATTTCATCAGTGGACAACTTTCCAACTTGTGCGTTCAGATCCCCCGCCATCACAACAGTGTCCGTGCTTCTTCTGTGGCGAAGGAGCTGGGTCAGTTGGCGGTAGAAGTCGTTTTTTACCGAATCATCGCTACAGTTTGTGGGCGCGTAGGCAGCGATGATGAATAGACACCTATTAGTCCGTCGCGGCTTCGAAGTTTTGAACGAGCCAGCCAATCGGACCGCACACATCCGGCTACTGATTGGAATCCAGTCAACCAGATGATCTTCAGCCCGGGGACTCAGGGCAATAACAACTCCAGCTTGGCCGGTGCTCTAAGCTGCATCGTCACCAGATAGGCGCAATGAGAAAATACTGCTTGCGTCATCTGAAGGAGATCGCAGAATAAGCACAGAGCTCGAGTCTTGCAGGCGGGTCTCTGATAAGCAACATATATCGATCGAGAGAGTCTCTAATGTTCGGGTGCGTGCTGCCTGTGGACCGATCTGTAGCACTGTGCCTACACATAGGCATGCCGATCTGAAGGATGGTCGAGGGCTACAAATGGAAGTCGATGAACGGGAGTTGACCGCTTGGTTGGACATAGGCTTGTCGACAGGAGAGGAGTGACGCTTTGCGTTAGCATGTTAATTGAAATTAGAAGATAAATGCCTAGCGAAGCATATTGGGGAAAGGCCAAGAATGGGGGTTGAAAACTGGGGGGATATAAGTGAAGTTGGAACGGGACGGTAAGAGTGAAAAAGCGTAAGCGGGGGAATACGAAGACGGGAAGGCTTGAGCAGAAGCATCTAAACCCCTATCCACCCTGCTCGATGCAGCAGATAGGACCCCGTTGATTATCCTCTGCGTTGGCCAGAGCATCAGAAATTTGTTTGAAGGGAGATTCATAG